GGCATTGCTTTGTTTCAGAAGAGTGAGAATGGGGCCCCAGTCTCTCCTTGCTTGTAAAGTCTCATAAGAAAAGTCTGGTGTTATTCGAATTGGCTTTCCCTTGTATGTTACTTGCTTCTTTTGTCTTACAGCTCTTAGAAGGGCCTCTTTAGTTGATATTTTGGTCAGTCTGATGACTGCATGTTGTGACACCTTCCTGTTTGCATTGAATCTCCCAGGGGTCCTCTGAGCTTCTTGAACTTGTATACGAGATTTTGAGCAAGGCCTGGGAAATTTTCCTCTATTATATTTTCAAATAGCTTGTCGAACCCTTCAGTGTTGTCTTCTTCCCCTTTTGGTAACCTTATGACCCTCACATTAGGTTTCTGTACATAGTCCCTCATCTCTTGTAGGCTATGCTCTTTTCTCTTGTTTCTCTGCTCTATCTGTGTGACTGTTTTATTTAGTTGTAGGGTGTTATCTTCAATCTCTGAGATTCTTTCTTCTGTTTGATCTACCCTGTTCTTGAGACTTTCCACTGTATTTTGTAGTTCCCTGAATTGTTTCTTCATTTGCAGTAGTTTGATTAAACTTTTCTTCATTGTGTCTATTTCTTTAGTGAACTTTTGTTCTAGGTCCTGGAGGCTTTTTGTGGTTTCTTTGTGTTGGTTATTGAGTTGTTCTTGCAGGTTGCTGAGTGTTCTTATGATCCACATTCAAAATTCCTCTTCTGTCATTTTGATTGCCTGATTTTGGTTGGTGTATATTTCTAGGGGGCTGGTGCTCCTCTTTGGGGGTGTGTTTTCCGTTTGTTTCTTCATATTTCCTGAATTCCTTCACTGATTTCTTCCCATGTCCATCAATTGTTTCTTTTCTTTAGGTTTTTGTTTGTGTATTCACACGCCTTGTTTAGTTTCTGAGCCGGTAGGTGGTGTCTGTGGGTGAGATTTGACCACTCCCTGTATAATGAGTCAGTAGGTGCCGTGAAAAGGCTATGCAGGATGCCCTCCCTGTCAGTAGGTGGTGCTTGCTTCGAGGGACAGGTTATGCTGTTGTTTTTGTGTCCTGTTATCAGTTCTTGTTCCTGTAGAAGGGCACTCTAGTACCTCAGGTGGTGGGTGGGGCCCTGGGACTTCCAGGTTTGTCCTTTTCTCCCCCTCAGTGAGGGCTGGTGTAGGAGAGAGTCTGGGCGGAGCTGGGTTGGGTAAGCCTGCCCTCAGGCATCACCAATGTCATTAGCAGGG